GGGGGGGGGGGGGGAGGATGGGTCCGACTGGGTAGCTCTCGTCGGCGGCAGAAGGAGTTTCGGCGACGGGACTTCTCGGGTTTTTCCTGGGTAATCGGAAAATTTCGGCAACTTACCCACCCTTCGAAGGCGATAGCGGTGGACTTTTTTCCGCGAGTGACGTGGGCGGAGCTCGCGCACGTCTGGACCGAAAAACGCCGTGGAGCGTGTCGCCGACGCCGCCGCCGCCGCCGCGGTGGTCGTCGTCGGTGGCGGTGGCCGTAGCGGGCCAACAGTCGTCTCGCGGTATCTGACACGGTGTGCCCGCCCGTTGCAAGCGTACGTGTGTGGTGTCTCCGTTCACGTGCCACTGACATAAAGTTCGTGAAAAACGACACACACACACTCTCACACACACACACACACACATACACACAAGGAGACACGTCTATAGTACATTATATTGTCCGCATCTTGTATCGTAATTTAAACAACTCCCGTCTTGATCGATCGTGATTAATCCCAAGCCATATTCAACCAAATTCCCCTCCCCCCACGCCACAGAATTTTTACCATTAAATGACCTGATCCATGTGGTCTCACGCGACTGACACGCGGACACGTACCTTTTAGTGGTTTTGTTTTCACCCTCTTTCCGCAGAGTATAACAATATTTTTAGAACATTTTCGACGCATCGTCGAATCGTATATTCGTGGGATTTGTTTTCCCATCCGCTGTTGTCCTTATTTTCCAATCAAATTTCCGACCAGCGATCCCGGACGCGCCATCGACTCATACATGCACGTGCAGGTAAGTTCGTCGAACCGCATGTTTTATACCATATATACTTCATTAATGTTATAACAGGTGTCGTACGTCTCGAATCGTTCATCGCTTTTCCGAATCCCCCGTCGCTGCCGAGTACGTAATATTATTTTGTTCGAAAAAATCGTGTCGTTTCGGCGTAAGAGGATCACTTGCCGTTTCCAATATACAAGAAATAGTGTAGGCTCCTGTTCCGTAATCCGTTATCGAAAGAATGGAAAGAATGAAACGTCTCGATGTCACGGTTCGAAGAACGATATATAATATATTGAGGGGTGACGTGTCGTTCCACCGAATCTAGATTAAACGCGCTTTAGTCACTCACTCGGTGTTTGGACCACCCGGCAATAGTTGTTAGGTTGATGTACAGTGGTTGTGGTTTTTGGTCGTCACGATTGATACAAACTTTATTGAAAGAAGTGTTCGTAGGCCCTGGCTTACTCCACGTGTTATCAATTAAAATAATTATGTGACTGTTTACATTCCAGTATGAAATGTATACCTGTCGGGAAACCGTTTGAAAAATTATAAAACCCGGTTATAGTTTAATAACATAATTATTATGAAGACATGTTAAATTTAGAATAGTTTATAATATTATTGTCACCATATAATAATTAAACAGTAACATAAAAATAAAAAACAGTATAAAAAATGAAAAATATTTTTAAATGTATTTAGTCAATTTTCACTTAGAAGATTTAGTGTTTAAGCGTTTGTGCGGAAATTCGTAATTGTTATTATGTATCACAACAATTATTTCATTAAAATATCATTTTAAGTGTGTTAAACAACACAAAATAAATTGTTTATAAAAATATATATTTGGGTCATTATTTATAATACAAACATTTGTAAACGCATATTTCATTCAATACTTTTTTCAGTTAAATTTTTTTTTATTTGCAAATTCGGTTGAAACAGTCATGTAAAATAAAAACTCATGTGTTTGTATTGGCATAGAAGTATAACATTTTTATATTTTCATTATGAATTATGGTGTATTTATATAAATTAAAATCATATAATAAATATAGAATATGCAATATATGATGTATTATTATGTGGTTTAAGACTGAGTGCTGAAACTTAATACATTACGTCAAACCCCTCATTTCGAAAAAAAATTTTAATACCAAGCTTTATGTTATGTTATTCTAATTAAATTTGAAGTAACTTAGTGATTTTTATTTATCACAAATTGATATCGTGTTTTTTTTTAGTTTTGGCCTTTGGGTATAATAGTCTCTTTTAATGATACTATAGCATCACATTACGTCCATTAATTTATTGGATAAGCCGTTAAAAAATGTTTGCTCACAGGAGTAAATAATTATCAGGCTGTGGTTAGAACCGTTTTTAGAGGGCAGATTTTTATTTACTTATACTTAGCATCGAGTTTAAATTGTATAAAATGTTTCATTATTAAACAAGATGGATTTATAATAATACTATCCGCACGGTAGGTACCAATAGTTTAATAAGTATATACGTAATCCGAACGCTCAACTCTCAATCACTGTTTATATACTTTTTATCTATTTCAGTTATCTCACGAGTAGTAACAGATCAAAACATATTAGGGTTTTAAAGTTTGGATGGGCAACGATCTACTGATATAAAGTATTATACATTATAAATGTTTTTATTTTATAAAAGTTTGTGCAACTAGTAATGTATATCCTTGTCATCGATGGCGTGAGTTCGTGAGTCAGTTTATAACTTCTACCAATATTCTTACTAGTCTTTATTAAATTTGTATAGTTCAATCAATAGAATTTTCAAAACCAATTAAAATAATCAACTTAAAGTTTAAAAAACATAAACTTTTTCCACTAAACACTCACGTACAACATTATTATTTTACAATTATAAAAACAAATAAACTATTATTGCTTGAGTTTCAGTTTGGTCTCATTCAATAGGTAGGTGGTTATTCATTTATACTGAAAAGTGTTAAACACATATATAATTTAAACTCTATTCATTAATGTACGAGCTTTCTTGTTTTGTATTTTAAATTTAATTGTAAGTGCGTAAATGATTATAATTGGTGTATGTGTACTGTCAAATTGACGTGCCATTTGTAAATATTTAAATTGGTCATGAAATTAATTTAAGAATTGGCTTGAAGTTATTAAATCACTAATGATTGCAAGTTTTTGGGCCGTTTAAAAATCTGTGCCTAAATATAATACGAGAAATGTACAGAAATAATATTAAACGATTATTAAGGTTTCACCAGTGACTTAATCGAAGACTTTGCCACACTCTCATACGTTCTTCAATGCAAGTATGCAAAATGTATTATTTAATTTCAAGATGACACCCTATGGCCAAATACTATTTTTTTAATTGTAGGTAATAGGAACTATTCATAAATATGAATACAAAATATTTTGATCCATCGACATTATAAGTTATAATTTAAAACTCTAATCACAATAATATTATGCAGACAAAAACAATGTGTGCACGAGTTGTCTACAAGGATTAACTTGCACGTCAGTTAGAGCAAATGCACTTTAATATTATTACAGCTAAAAAAAAGGACTACTGTTAATTGGGGAGGGGAATTTATTACGTTGTTTGTTTGAAATACAAATGCAACATCAAAGTCCTAGTTGCGTCAAAACGGAGTCGTGTTTGGACACATTTGAAGTCGGCAGACATAAAATAATATTATCCGTTGCACAGATCGAAAATAAAAATGAGGTGGACCTGAACGGATTCTTTATCGGTAATTAATATGCGTAACCGTGGTAACTGATTGCAATTACTTGAGTTAAGGACTTATTAAAATACAATTTTCAAAAAATGCATACAATTATGCAACTGACAACTAGAAGAAAAACAACAACAAAAAAATAAATGCTCTAAACTATGAAACTAAGTACTTATCTTATTACTTTAATAAATATTAACGACCAAGTACAGTTTACTAGACTAAATTGAGAAATATATATGTTATTTTGACTCTTTTCTTATTACTCTCTATAACTATTCGAATTATGCACGAAGATATTATTCAGTTAAAACTACTAAACAATTATCTATAATATGCAGCAGCAATAATTATAGAACAGAAACAATAATGATGTATACACTAATTTTATAATATAAATGATTATTAATAATTCTTTCATTTTCTAAAATATGACGAAATATACAAAATATATTATATGCAAAGACATTTAGACAAACTTTATATTAAGCTTCACAGTTTCTCAAAAAAATGTACTTACAACAAATATGTTACCTATAATACTTATTCTATAACCATCACAATAAAGTAGCCAATGTAAGAATTCTTGAACCATTGGTTAATGTGATTTCCTAATGCACAACAAAATAGGTATAATGATGCATTATTTATTATATAAATTAAATATAAAATACATTTTTGTGCATACAATATAATTATGTCTGTACAAACAATTGATATGAGGTACTTAAACGAGTTATTTTGTTTACGATTTGTGAACAACACACAATATTGATTAGGTAAAAAGAAAACATTGGAAAAAAATAAAACTGTGGAAAATTATATAATAATTATTACAACAGCATTATCTACCATAAAGTGCACCGCAGTTTGTTTAATATGCACTCGATGTCAGGAAAAGGTAAAAAAAAATTTTAACTACAGTTACTTAGATAAAGTTGAAAAATGTGTGTCGGCGGTCGGTTAAAAATTCTATTAGATTAAATATATTTTAAGAGAAGGAGAGTTCTAGAAATTTTCTTTTAACGTTGCTTAATAATAGAAATGATTTTTAAAAATGTTAGAGATTAGTGATAAGCTTTTTTTCCCAATAATAAAAAGTTATTACAAATTTTCAAAAATACCTTTCCGTTATCTATTTGACCATCATTGCTGGAAAAACTTGATTTTTTTTTGTTAAAATGCTATAGAAAAACTACTTTAGGGATCAGAAATCTATTAAAAGTTGTTTTAATAAGTTTGCCGTATTAATCATACAAAATACGTTACACTAAATACAAGTAGCAGTATTGGTGTTAGTGTTAGGTATACGGCCGTTGATGACGTTGAGAAAAACATATCTCTATGATTTTTTAAACATACCAATGAAGTGCAATTTAGTAAACAAATTATTACAAAAAATTATATAATATTGAGTTAAATTAGGTTGAAATAATATAAGACAACTATTTAGATTTCAATTTAAAATTAGGAGTTTTTGTTATAGAAATGTCTAATTGCCGAAGACCCGATTTATTCACAATGAAAATACGTGTCAAAAAATGTACAGTCTTATTTGATTTTTTACAATAAGTATGTGTATGTTAAGTATTTATTTTATTCAGTGTAAAACGTATATACATTTAGAATGCTCAAAAAAGAAAAATGTTGAACGTAAGTTTTTTTTTAAATATTGTTTTTCAAATGAAAAATGCTAAACTCAAACGCAATATACGCTCCTAAAAAAAAAAATCCATATAATAATAAAACTGATATTACAAATCAATCATTAGAATCCAAATAAAGATTGGTTCTGGATTACTAAGACTTTTTTAATAAATTGATGAAAAACACATTCCGCTAATAAGTATAATATAAAAATTATATTAAATGCTTTGAGCAATCAAAAACTTTTTTTTCCCCTGTAATAGTGATCTAGTCAAATTCATGAAGATTGAAATCCTAAAATGTGCACAAGACACGATGTAAATTAAAAATTAAAAGAATAAAGAAGTATAAGCTTGGGCGAAAAATTCTAGTCGTTAATTTGTAATGATTTTTACTTTTTGAATCATATAGATATTTTACTTAATATACCAAAACATTTCTAAGAATTTCTATGTATTAAAACCAAAATTTTAACTTGTAGCTAATTAGCTAAAAGTATTTGAAGACATTATACAGTGTTATGTCAGTGGCACTTACGAGATGGAAGTTATATCGATAAAAAACAGTAATTAATATAACTTTTGCCAGAAACCTATAGTGTTGTAATGGTTCA